AGAAGAGCGCAGAGGCAAAACGCGGAGGACGAGTAAGGACAAATAAGACTGCTGAGTGAGAGGTAACGTGAGCGTGGAGAAGTGGAAAGGAGATGGACTCATACCTTCAGAGCAAAAGTAGCAACGCCAGAATGACGCATCTAAACAAGTGGCCTCATCGCCCCCTGCCGTCGCCCTCTGCCCCGACATCGCGCCCTCACATTTAGCATCACTATTCCCTGTATCCTCCTCCTACTCGTCCGCCCCCCTCCCTTCCAGCCCAGTCCCCATCATAGTCCGCCTCATGCCGCTGCTGGTATTGCTGTCATTTCTCATCGCCCTCTTCTTCCTCCTCGTCAATCGTCGCCCTCCTGGTCCTGCCTCCATGCATTTCATCCTTTTCTTCTTCCGCCTGCCCCCGCTTCACCTATTCTTCCTGCGCCTCTTCCTCCTCCTCCTTTTGGCCCGACATGTCAACGCAAGAACGCCGTGCAACGTCCGCCAATCCTCTGGGCGAACGTGTTTCACGAAGCCATCTCTTCCAACCACCCTCTCTTGCCGTTCTTGGTCTAGGCCCTCGAGGAACGAGGGGTCCGAACGTCCACGGCAGTGGTTGGCTCCGAGACGGTCCCATGTTCCATTTGCTCAAATAGCATCGCAAACAACATAAGCTAGCCCACTACGGCCGTCTCTCCATGAAGCCAAGAGTTCACCCGAAGGGGCTGGCTATCCCCTGGCGATGACGACCTTTGCCAGAGGGGTGGAGGAAGGGGGAGAAGGGGGGAGGGGTTTGCCAACGTCACGATTCGCGCCGGCGCCGTCTGGGAATTCGCTACCCCTAGACATTCCCAAACGCGCCGTCGTGGACCGTGATGTGAACAGGTGGGGAGGGAGTGGAGGAGCATCCCCAGTAACGGCCGTCATCGCGAGCGAATCGAGAGAAACACGTTCAATTCGGTGGAAACTCATGGGAGCCTCCCGTACCATCTTGTCGGCTCTCGCGAATCGACGAGAGTCGACGCTAAATCGACTCTAACCGACGCTGAATCAAAGCTAATAGACGCTAGCCGACGCTAAATCGGCGCTTTCTCATCGACTACCAGAGGCTAATCGATGCGAGCCGACGCTATGAAGACTGAGTTAAGAGGGTCTACGAGGCTCCCATGATTTGCTACCGAAGCCAGGGTTCGGGTTCTGGGAGAGAATTCCAGGTCTGCCAGGCACGTTCCATTGTCCACCCGCTCCGCGGATCTTTGGGGGAAAGTTAACATGGAACGACAATGGAACGTTCCTGGCAAACCTGGAATTGTTTCCCAAAACCCGAACCCTGGGCCCAGAACCCTAACGGTACACCCAAAAACTGTGGTCAGGGCGGCTCCACGTGGCCGCGGGGGCTCCCACTGCTGCTGCCGAGGAGAAGACCCTCAGACCTGTCCAGCGCCGCAGGTCCCCGCACGCCGACCCCGCGGGCACCCTTTCGTGCTACGGGGGGGGGCCACTCGGCGCACCGCGCCCAGCGGCACCCGGGGGGGGGGGGGGAGGGCGAGAGATCCCACGAAAGCCGCAAGGTGCACGTCGGGGAGACACGCGTGCAGCTCGTACTTCTGGGAAGGAGGACCTCAGGCCCCCCAGCTGTATTCAGAGCCCCGAATCATCAGGGGCAACTCGGGTCAGGACTAACTCGGGTCCGTTTTTTCGGGATTCCGAACTGGAGTTGCCCCGGACCCGAGTTGCCCTGGATCGTTCGGGCGCCCAGAGACCCAAATGATCAGGGGTAACTCGGGTCAGGGCTGACTCGGGTTCGTTTTTTTTCGGAACTCCGAGCCCGAGTTGCCCCGGACCCGCGTTATACCCCGGATAGCCCGGGCGCCCCCGCTGTATTTCGGCAGCGATGGCCCCAGCGGCAGCGGGCGGGGGGGGTGGCGGGAGAGCCCACGGGAGCCGCACCGTGCACGGCGGGGAGAGGCGCTGCACCGCTCCTTCTGCGGCCGCGGTGGCCCCCCGAGCGCCGAGGGCAGATTGTCTGCAGTGCGGGCGTGGAGTCGGCAGGCCGTGCTGCCGCAGGGCCGTCATCGTCGTTGCCCCCAGGGTGGAACGAAGGACACGCAAATAAGTAGACACAAACAACAGCATTCCCGATATGTTCCCATTTGCCTTCCCCACCACTTCCCATATTTTCCCACATCTTCTGGGGAATTGACGATGAATTGTGTCTGTGTGTATTTGTTTCCCCTCCTGAGAACACCCCAGCTCAGAAGCGAAAAGGTGGGCAGAGGATCGAGGAGGAGGAGGAGGAGGAGGAGGAGGAGGAGGAGGAGGAGGAGGAGGAGGCGAGGGGAGAGCAGAAGGCAGATACAAGGACGTGTGCACCTTTTTGGCCATCTGTCTCACACCTACACCTACACCCGGCGGGTGACACACTGGAAGGCAGCGACGTCGGGAAACGAGGCACTCGTGCGTGCTCCGAGGAAGGTGACGCTGGTCCCCACAGGGCCTGCCGCCTCGCTCAACGAGATCAGCATGGAGGGGCAACCACGTTTGGCCGAGACCGTCGCGACGAGAGCCCCTCTGGAGACACAGAGAGGAAAAAACAATTGTAAAGCACGTCGGTATCGACATGCTGCCTTCCCCTTCCTCCCCCTGACCCAGACATCCGCTGAGGAGGAGAAGGAGGAAGAGGAGGTGGTGGAGGGGGAGATGGGGAAGGGGGGGGAGGAGGAGGACGAGGAGGACAGCCAAAGATGTTCCCCACCCCTCCTGGTACACACCCTGGCCAGCGTGTCGTCCCTGATCAGTGTCTGACAATCCTGGGGCCGCAGAGGGGCCCCTGGAGGCTGAAGGCGACGAGAAACCTCCGAACTCTGTACCGGCGGAGTCTAAGAAGAGCGGGAAAATCGAGACTGGAGGCCGAATTTCCTGCTCTGACTACGAGCCCATGGGGAAGGAAACACGGAGGAGTGCCCCGGCTGGGAAGAACGTCCTGGGCTCTGCTATCCCACAATGCATGGACCCGCAGGGGGCAGGAGCGGCACTGGCAAGTCAGGGAAGTGCGGACAAGGGAAGAACCATGGGAAGGACGAGACGGCCTACGAAGGTGCAGCAGGGCGACACGCCATTCCTAAACTCAGGTCGGGCATGTCCTCCTACATGCATTATTGTTTGAGGGCAACTGGAGATTTGTCAAACGTATCAAGCATAATCAGTAAGTATTAGAAACTTCGTCCCCAGACTATTTGTTTAACTATTTTTGCATACTTCTTCTGTTTATGGGCATGCCCGACTTAAGCCTAAACATAAGCTTTCGGAGGCCCGCGTGGACTTCCTGGATCCGCGGTGGACTCTCCTTCCTGACGCGCGGAGAGCGTCAGGGGCGGCGCCGGAGGGGCCGCCAGGGGGGTCCCAGCGCAGATCCGAGAAATCCACGCAGGCCTCCGACAGGTTGTCCGTTCCCATGCCGTGCTCTCTCTCCGTCGAGGCACAGGAGAAGAGAGAGAAGAGCGCGGCTGCCCTGCAAAGATGACCGTCACGCACGCGCCTTCCAGCAGCTCCTCAGCCGCAGCACCGGCGAGCGCACGGCGCGACTGCCGCCTTCGTCATCAGCAGAATATTCCAGGGGCTGACATGAAAAACAAAACAAAAAACAAAAAAACACGGCGCGATCGGCGCGGAGGCCCCAGACGCGGCATCGAGGCGCGGGGAGTCGAGGAGGCGGCCGCGGGGGAGGGGGGCGACGGCGCGCGCCGTGCCCGCGGCGCGCGCCTCTCAAGGCAAGGCGCGCGGCAGGCTCGCGAGGGGGCCGACCGCGGCAACCCTTGCGCTGGCTCCCGACGCTGCGGGGCTCGCTCCCCCTCCAAGAAGCCATCGACACAAGAAGCATTAACAAAAAACTCACTGAACGAAATTTCGTCCCCGAATTATTCATGTACTATTTCAAGTATTTCTCCTGTCGGGGGACAAGCCCGACATAAGCAAAGGCAGGACCAGTTACAAATCGGAATGGGACTAACAAAGAATCTCTTTGGACGCCCGAAATGGGTACGGAAAGAATGGGTACAGTGCCCAACAGCAACTGTTGTCCCAAACCAACAGCGGCCGCTGCTGGGCAGGCGGCCCCCGCTCTCGAATGGACACAGGCCGCGGCGGCGTGGGCAGCGAGTCCCGTTCAAAATGAACAGGATCTGCTGTTGGGCATTGTACCCACTCTTTCGGTACCCAGTTCGTTCGTGCAGAAGAATCGGCCAGTCCCGACTCTGGGGAAACAACAAAAGGTACTGATACCGCTACTCCCCGGACCTCTCCCGGGGTGCGTTTTGACCAGGATTTCGGGGCGAATCCAGCGGTGGCAACGAGGGCCGCCGAGGAGGCCCAAAAGGGAGAAAGCGGGCAAAGGGTAGAGGTATGGCCACCGTTTCCTCCTCTGAGAGTCGTGGTCGCCGACGGCGTTCAGCGTGGCACGCCGGCGGCGGGGTCGCCGCCAGCCAACACGACGCGGAACCAACCGTACACTGGGCCCTGGGGGCGCTGGGGGCCCTGGGTGACGATGACGACGACGACGACAACGACGACATCGACGGCGGCGACGACGAGGACGACGAGGAGGACAACGACGACGAAGACATCAAAGAACGGCCGCCTATCCCCGCCATGGCTCCATCAGCAGAGACCAGGAGAGCAGAGGATGCGGGCAAGTCCTGCCCCCCTGCGGGGGAGGAGGCGGTGAGTCCCACGGCCAAGGTCGCGCTGGAAGCGCATCCCCAGCGGCAGCAACCGGCAGGCAGGGAGGAGACCACGGGGGGACGAGGAGGAGGAGGAGGAGGAGGAGGAAGAGGAGGAGACGGAGAAGGAGGAGAGGGAGTGAGGAATGGGGAGGAGGAGGAGGACGACGACGACGACGGCGGGAAAGGAAGGACGTTTTCGGTCCGACACCACCGACGACGACGACGACGACGACGAAAACGACGACGACGACGGCGGCGAAAATCGCCCTGTAGGGGGACACGCCCGAGCGCGGTGCGGAGCGCCTGCGGCGACGCCACCACCCGGAGTCCGGGCGCGGTGCGGCTGGCGAGCAGCGCGGGCAGCCCCGCGCAGTGGTCCGCGTGGTGGTGCGAGATCCACACCAGGCTCAGCCTGATGGGTAGGAGGAGGGGGAGGAAAGGGAGGAGTAGGAGGAGGAGGAGGAGGAGGAGGAGGAGGAGGAGGAGGAGCAGGAGGAGGAGGAGGACGAGGAGGAGGACGAGGAGGAGGAGGAGGAGGACTAGGAGGAGGAAGAGGACGAGGAGGCGGAGGAGGAGGCGGAGGAGGAGGCGGAGGAGGAGGAGGAGGAGAAACACGGACAGCCACCACCGAGAGGCCATCAGTGGGGGGCCGACCCCCGGGCGGTGGCGCGCCCGAGCGTCACCCCTATACACGTGCCGTCGCGCGTTTGGAACTGTTCCACGTGTGCGCGACTCGGGGGAGGGGGGTGGAGCGAGGATGACGGCGAGGGCGGCCAGGAGGACAACCACGAGGCTCTCGGAATTGCCTGGCGTTTCCGAGGTCTCCTGCAGGGATTCCAGCCTCGGGATGCCTTGCAGCAGTTGCGCCTCGCCGAAAACGCTTTGGGGGTGCCCGGATCTTCCTGATTAGCCGCCGAAGGCTCGCCCGAAAACTCTCTATGTGTGTCTCTCGCGCTCTCTCTCTCTGTCTCTCTCTCTCTCTCGTTGTTTTCTTTTCTCTTTCTCTCTCTCTCTCTCTCTTTCTGTCGCTCTTTCTCTCTCTCTCTCGCCCTCTCTCGGAGGAGGAGGTGGATGAGGAGACCGCACTGCATTGGCGAGCGCCGCGCAGGTCTCCCGCGCAAGGCGAGCTCAGCAAAGGGGGTGTCGAGAGGCCGACCCTTCAGGCGCCAGCACAGGCTGCATGCCCCCACCAAGAGCATCGCGAGGCAGGCGCTTTGCCCAGGAATTTTGAAAGGGGCCCTAAGACACACACAAATAAGTACACACGAATAACAGGATTCCCCATATTTTCCATATGCTTTGGATTGTCGTCTTCCCTCCCCCATGTCCCATATTTTCCTATATTGTCTGGGGAACCGACGATGAATTGTGCCTGGGTGCTTTCCCCTCCTGACTTCTGTAGGAGGGCCCACCAGAACTCATGCAGAAGGGCACAGGCGGTGGTGCACGGTGGCCGCTGCCTGCCTCACACGCCTCCCAGGCCAGGGAGAAGAGGGAACTGGCACGGCGAGAGTCGCACCAGCCGTCTGCCTCGAGGCAGGAGAAGTCAGGCCCGTCGGCTCGCAAACGGCGCACACCAAGGCCCGCCAAAGGGAAGGTAACCTGGAGCGCCGACTGGCCCTGACAAGGGCGCGAGAGGCGGGAGGAATGCGCAACGCCGCCGCGCTGCTGCGACGGCACACAGGGAGCCGCAAAATGCACATGGTTCTCACGCGCATGAACGTAAACAGCTCGCAAATATTATCACGCAAACAAGTGGCACATGTGCCATTGCTCTTGCACAAAAAAAGAAGGGGGAGGAGGAGGAGGAGGAGGAGGAGGTGGAGGAGGGGGGAAGAGGGGGCACGACATCGCCCCTCGGGGCCCAGCAACGGGGCCCCAATCCCATGTGGGGAGGGGGGGGGGAGGTGGTGTGCGTCGCGACGCGGAATAAAATGCTCGGAGCGGAGGGGGCACGGGGCGGAGGTCCCACTGGAGCGCTGGGGGCGCGGAGAGGAGGGGGGGGAGGTGGTGTGCGTCGCGAAGGGGGCGGAGGGGGCACTGGACGGGGCTTGGGGCAGAGGGCCACGGGGCGGGGGTTCAACTGGGGCGCTGGGGACGGGGGTGGGACGGGGATGGGTGTGCGTCGCGACGCGGAATAAAATTGTCGCGGCGGAGGGGGCACGGGGCGGGGCCCCCACTGGGGCGCTGGAACGCGGGGAGGGAGGTGGGGGAGGTGGTGTGCGTCGCGACGCGGAATAAAGCGTTCGTGGCGGAGGGGGCAGTGGGCGAGGCTCCCGCTGGGGGCGCTGGGGACGCCGGGGGGCTCGGGGCAGATAACCACGGCGCGGAAGTCCCACTCTGGCGCAGGGGACGCGGGGGGGGGATGCGACGCGGAATAAAGTGGTCGGAGCTCTAGACACCCTGTGCAAGATAATAAAGGCAAGTAAACGTCACGCGGATACATGCCACGCAAGTAGTGCCACAGAGCAACAGGCAGGCTCCGGGCAACCCTGGCGACGCCGACAGTGCTAGGAAACAGAAAGACAACAGAGGCGCAGGAATAACCTCGACTGCCCTGCACGACCAAAGACCCTTGAAGGAAAACGGGGCCGCAAAAAAGTGCAGCGCCACAGGGGAGCACACCCGAGCGGATGCCCCACTCACGTAGCACTAGTCGCCTCGGCCAGAAATGTTCCAAGAGCATCTCGCGCGGACCACAACAGGCTCCTAGAACATCATTTGGTGGCCCTATATAGGCGAGCCAGGAAATTTCGACAAGGCTCGACTCCTGACAACGACGCTGGTCCCCAGAATGTACGTCGACCTCACGTCGGATTGCTGTCGGACTGATGCTGGAGCATCACCGCGCAAAAACGTCGACCCATAGCTTGCAGAGCTGACGCGTGGACTACTGCTACTAGCTGCTAGTACGCGCCGCGCGAGGCCTCCAGAATGTTACTTATAAACCCCCAGTGCTCCTGCCGAAGTGAGGCGTGAACCTTCGTCTCACACCTGTGCCGCACCACGCCGACGAATTAATACTGAGGGGTGGAGCATCACGTCTAAGTTACAACCGCCACCAGCACGCATTGAGTTCAAGGAGACCCGACGCAACGATCGATCCATCCACGCACTGATGTGTGCTATAATAGCCTGTCCAACCTGCCTCCAACCACGTCTTCTTCTCCCGGCCATCCTAGAGGGACATGAAGGAGAGGGGGCAAGTGTGAGAAAGGAAGACATGGGGGAATCAAAACACGACGCCCTGCCATCGCCTGGATGCTTTTCCATAACCCGAACCCTCGAAACACAAACACAAACGACGCCAACCTCTGCGTGTCTGTGACTCTTGCAGGCGCATTTCAACCAGCGCGTGCCTCTGCTGCTGCTGCCGCTCCTGAACCGCTCATCGGGGGCGGAATCCTCCATTGACGAAGGGGGCCCGAATCAGAAGTGGAAGGGCCGCTGCTGCTCCTCCTCCTCCTCCTCCTCCTCCTCCTCGTACTCCGTGTCGTCCTGGTCCTTCACTCCCTCATCCTTACGGAAAGGAGCGTTTGCTTGGCATGACGCGGGAGCGGTTTCTGCGGCACGCTATGACTTGCAAGCTGATGGCGAGTCGCTTTGCTTCGCGAGGTGGGAGGCTGGGACGAGCTCGGAACGGCGATGCTTGGAGACTGGGACGTGGCCAGCGGGTCGCACCGAAGCGTGGCGGGCCAGAACCATGGGCGCGACAGGCTCCGCAGAAGTTCCTGGCCGTAGCCGCTCTCCTCCGTCCTCTCCCCAACACCATGCTGGTCTTCCCGCTCGCCAGTCTGGTTCTCAACAACACCATGCTGGTTCTCACCATCTTGGACCTGCTTCCCAAAGATACACCTTTCTCAGGAATGCTGGTCTTCCCGCTCTCCGCCATCCTCTCCCCAACACCATGCGGCTCCCCCTGTTCTGGTCAGGCCCGCCCCTTTCCGTGGCCCAGCGCGGCCCGTTCAGCGTCTCCAGAGCCGCCTCCTCGCCGAGGAGCCTCACCTGATGGCACAGCGCAGGGGAGGGGAAGCGGCAGCGGGCAGCGGCGCAGACGCCGAGGAGCAGACGGGGAAGAGGGCGGCGACAGATCAAGGGGGCACGTGGCGACCCAACTCCCCGACTTTGGGGGGCTTCCGACTGGTCCAGAAAGTTTGGGCCTAACCCTGGGATGCACAAAGGGGCGTTCATCCTCGATAGGAGTGCGTCGGAATAGCCCCTCGGGGGTGTATCCTAAGTGCCCCCCCCTTTCCTGAACGGCGGAACTTTTCGGGCGCAGCTCTGGGTTTTGGGGAGCAGATTCTTCTATGAAAAAAACAGATTCAGCCAGGAACCCATAGAAGCACAGAGTGTTCAACGCCTTCTCGCCTCGCTTCCACCGAGCCACGCGATCGTCTCGGGCCTCTTCGCGATCACTTTCAGGTCTTGTTTCGCAGACGCCTGCTGAGACGCTTAATCCCAGTGCAGGCTTTGCAAGCCCCGATGTGAGGAAGTCGTTCAAGGGATACTGGCGCTGACAAGCAGCGAGCCCTACCCCTTGCGGTGAAAGTTCTGAAACAGAGAAGTATACCTTCGCGGGTGTGTCCGATAACAAATGCCCCAGCATCGGTTGGACCCGCAGGGGTTGGCTTCCCAAGCTGTCGCAGATTTAAGGGGGAACGATAAGGGGGCACCAGCTCAGGGGGGGATGCATCGAGCTTGAATCGGCGATACATTACCGATACCATGGGCTGGGTGGGCTATCAAACCTCTATCGAGGATGAATGGGCGTTCGGGGGTCGATACTTTCCTCCCTGAACCTCCTTGACGTTGCCCCTGAACCTCCCGACCTGGTTTCCCGGTTCGTCGTAACCGAACTCTCTGGGGGTCAGTCGGGATCATCCGGCCACCCTCAGAGCGCTCTCGGCGAAGCACAGCCGCTGGGAAGCCGCTGAACACCGACGGAAAGGTGCGAAAACCTAGAGCCTCGACCCTCTAGGCTGATACCTCCCCAGTCGTTGCCCCTGCTCGCCATCGCTCGGCCGTCCACTCCCCGTGCATGCCTCGGTTCCGCGCGAATAGTGTTCCGCAGGATGATCCAAGAGGCTGCGCGCTGCTCTTTTCGAGCAAAAATGCACACGACCGAACGCTTAGAAGAAGGAACAACGCTATAAACATAAACTGTTGGCACTCCGCGCGGCTCTCTTGGATCTATGTTTATGTTTGTGTGTGTTACCATTATTTCGCGAGATATCCGCGCGGAGCGCCCAAAGTTCCTGAATATGGCGTGTTGCCTCTCTTCGTACAAGTCCTGAAGAGTTCCCCAGTCGCGTCAAGCACGCGCGCCAGCGAGTCCGCTCTGCTCCTCCCGAGGTCCGACGCCCTCCTGGGTGTGCGCCCCGGCTGCTCGAACATGGCGTGTTGCCTCTTTTCGTCTCAATCCTGAAGAGGTCCCCAGTCGCCTCAAACACGCGCCGGCGAGTCCGCTCTCCTCTCCCCGAGGTCCGACGCCCTCCCGGGTGGCGCCCTGGCTGCTCGCGGACGCCACCCCATCGCCGAGAAAATCCGGGCGGCGCGCACCTCCCCCCGAGGCAAAGCCGCGGTCGCTCGCCCCTACGGGGCAGTTCTTAAAACATAGGATGTTTTAAAGTTAATCGATGCTACATCGACGCTACATCGACGCTAAAGCGACGCTACCTCGGCGCTGCCTCATCGACTCCCAGACGCCAGCCAGATCGACGGTAGCCGACGCCAAAGACAGGATTGCGAGGGCACGCTGGAAGAACAACAAACAACCTGACCAACAAAATCAAGACACACCAACAACAAAAACATAACACAACCAATGACAACAAAAAAGGTAAGACCCATGAATTGCTACCGAACCCGCTCCCTCGCCCAGGGAGGCGCCGGGAGGCGGGGCGGTCTCCATCTGCGGCCAGGTCCCCCCGCCGCAGTCCAGCAGCGCCGAGAAGTCCCCCCACCGCAGCAGGATCGCGCTCTGGCCGCGCTGGGACGTGGGCTTCGCGCTGCCAGTGCCTGGCAGGCCGGGCAGGAGAGCCCAGAATCGAATAGACAAGTCGGATCGGCGATCGGAACGGATCGGATCGGCAGGTATCGGCAGCCGAGTCGGGAGGAGTCGAATCGGCGGGAATCGGCAGGTTAGTAGGCTCCGATTGAGAAATCGGAATCCAAATCGGAATCCGAAGACGGTTCGAATCGCAATCGGAAGCCATCGAAGTCGAATCGAATCGAATCGGACAAATCGAAAGGAACCCCGGGAGGGCGGGGCGAGGTCGGCACGGTGGAAGCAATGGAGAAAGAAACGCACCACCACCATCATTACCACCACCACCACCTGAGCGACAATCAAAAACGGGTCTACGTGAGATGAAGTAACGGCCTTACGCGGCGGCTTACGCGAGCCGCAGGCGCGGCACGCTGCATTCAACACGAGGGCGCGCACGCGCGACCTTACGCGTACAGCTTACGCGCCAATGTCGGCGAAGCCGAAACCATTTTGTTGAACCGCTCGGATGCAGTGGGTGGTCAGGTGTGGTGGTGGTGATGTATGGATCGTTTCGGCAGCTCTCGCGGGGCAGCGTCCTGAAGCCCCCCCAGGTGGAGGTTGCGCAGCTGCAGCAGCTCGGCAGCGGAATTGGCAACACACGTTCCTCGTAGGTCTGCACATTTAGTTCCACGTAGACCAGTACATTACTGTTGTGGTGAGGATTGCTTCGTTGAGGAGGCAGCAAGAAGCCAAAACGTATTTCCCCCTGGCCGCCCTCGTCTGTTTCCTCCCTCTTGCACGCCGATCAATTCGCCTTCCAATTGCCCCGAATAGCCACACGTTGGAGCGGACTGCCGCTTCCGCTTCGCTCTGGTCGGACCCCTCCTGAGTATCGTCCATCCGATCATGATCCCCAGCGGCGCGTCCTTGGCCCCACTGGCCGATTTAGCCACCTTAGATGCGGATATAGGCCGCTCCCTTCGGGTTTCGAGGGGCGTACCCCCAACTGGGGGGTAATTTGGTGGGGGTCTCGAAGGGGATGGGGATGGGGACGGGGACCGGTTGAACAACACCAACTTCAGGTGGCCCCTCCACGGGCCATTGAGCTGGCAGAAGAAGCGACCCTGGGGGAGACCCTGGGGTCCAGTGGTGCCCATTCCCCCCGGGGCCCCTGCCGAAGATGTCCGGGGGGGGAGGAGCCAAGGACAGGAGCCGTGAATAGGCTCGGGGCAGGCGGTGTCAAAGGCCCGGTGCCAGCGGCAGTGGAACAGTTGGCCAGGGACGTACCCAACCCATCTGCAACAAAAGAGACACATCACTGGGTCCACGAGGGAGGATCCCTGGAACGGGAGCGCTGTCCTTTCTGCGAACTGCATGGGGAACATATGCATTGCGCGCCCCAAGAGAGCGAGGTGACACGACGCCGAATGACAACCCAACTAGCCCTCTGGGAATAGGTGGTTCAAAGTTCCGACTCTTCCACATCCCCCTCTTCCTCTGCGGGAGGGGTCGAACCCTTGCTCCGCATTCATCTACACCCCCCCCTCCACACGACTGGCGACAGACAGATCCGGGCCAATGCCGACCGCCCCCACCATCCTTTGTAACGAAAAACCATACAACATGCAATTTACAGCATAATCTGGGTCAGGCGGGACCGCCGCGCGATCACTTTGAATGGCTTCTGACAAGGACGGCGCGGGTGGAGGCACGCTGGGGCCCCACGTCACCTCCCCCAGGTTGTGGCCGCATGGACGAGTCTGGCAGCCCGGCTCGGCCCTTTGATCAAACAGACACACGTCCAGCTCCACTGGACCGGCGAGCGCCACGGGCAGAAACGGGGGTCCCGCTAGGGCCACGGGCATGACGAATGCGCGCGCCATGATCGCATTGCTGAAGGCTCGGGGCGGCGGTGGGCTCCTCGCGCGCTCCTCGATGTGACGCCGCGCCATTCGTTTTGAACGCGCCCAACTGGACGACGCCGACACAACGGCAAAACCATAGAGAGCCCTGGGTCCGGCGCCCAAGGTAGACGACGCCGCCACGCGGCAAACCCCACGGCGAGCCCACCGCACCCGAGGCGGCGTTTGCCCTGGTGGCCGAGGCGCCCTCCCCAAGACGTAAGGCCGCGCGTCGGAACAACCGGTGCGGAGACATTTGAGAGATATCCCACCAGCCCTCCGTCGCCTCCCGCCCTCCTGCAATGCGAGGGGATATCCATAACCCTCGCCTGGGATCGACGGCGAGCGTGTTTTCCACCACCACCGCAAGGAGATGGGGAAGGGTCCTCCTCCGCATCTCCCTCCTCCTCCTCCTCCTCCTCCTCCTCCTCCTCCTTTTGAGACCCTTTCGATAGGGGCTCCACGGCGCGGGCCGCGCCGAAGCCCATCACAAGGGCGCCTTCCTGTGGGCGCCGAACGTCTCCTCCGTGTCTTCTCTGCGAAGAGCCCCCTCCCTTCGGCTCGCAAGCTGAGGGCGCTCCTCCTCCTCCTCCTCCTCCTCCTCCTCCTCCTCCTCCTCCTTCCTCCTCCTCCCCTCCTCCTCCTCCTCCTCCTCCTCCTCCTCCTCCTCCTCCTCCTCCTCCTCCTCCTCCTCCTCCTCCTCCACCTCCCTCCCCTCTGCGACTTCTGGTGGTGGTGGTGGAAAACGGGCCCACCAGTCCATCCTCCGAGGGGACCTCGGCGGGCGGAGGGCACGTCGACGCCCGGCCCCCGCGCGGCTGGAACGCTCAAAGCTCCGCGGACTTCCCGCCTCGCTGCGAGCAGGAGGAGGAGGAGGAGGAGGCGGAGGAGGAGGAGGAGGGAGGAGGAGGAGGAGGAGGGAGGAGGAGGACGAGGAGGAGGACGGGTCGCCCAAAACCTTCGGAGAAACCCTCCACCCGCTCCCCTCCCCGAGAGAGCAAATCGGGCGCGCGCGCGGGCGCCCAGGAAAAGCAGCTCCGGCTCGGCGTCCCCCGAGTCGGCGACCTCCCCTCCGCGGCCGGGATGGGCTCGACGCATACACCAGATCATGCGGGGACCCCAGCTTCCCAACCTGTGAGACGCTGGAGCGTTTACGCGCCGAACTCCTTCGCCGAGCTCCCCAGGTTCTCACAGGGATCGACCTTAACAATGTTCGTTGGTGTCCGTTCTGTTGTCGTTCTCCCGCGCTTTATCCTCGCTTCGCCTCTGCGGCAACACGAAGCCGGCATGAACACGGCCCACGAAATCGCCCAACGCACAGATTAGGTCGAGGCCTGTCCTGGGCCGCTGGGGCAAGGGCCAGAGGGGATCCACGTGAGCGTGTGTGTGTGTGTGTGTGTGTGTGTGTGTGTGTGTGTGTGTGTGTGTGTGTGTGTGTGTGTGTGTGTGTGTGTGTGTGTGTGTGTGTGTGTTTCTCTACCACCCCAGTTCACGCTGAGTTCTTTAGGTTACTTGTCGATCATTTGGGCGAGGGCGACCTCACGCAGTAAACTTGGCAACATTTTGATTCCATGTCAGTTGCCAGAGAGAGTGAGCAGCACACCAACAGACAATTGAGGGAGGGAGGGAATTACTCATGAGGCACCCATCTGCCGCGAGGGGTGCCAGGCATCCTGGACGGCAGCGCCTCAGACCAGGGAGGAGGAGGAGGAGGGGGAGGACGAGTGAGTCTGTGCACAATGGCGGGTGAGCGGCCAGACCACGCCTCGGACAATGCCTGGTGGCGCCGCGCGGTGACACGCAGTCGGGCCTCGAAGTGCTCGGCAGGGGAGCCAGCGCAGGAGAGGCGACGGGCATTGTGGGTGGCTAGGAAAGCATCACAACATGCCGCACGCAAAAGGCAGACGTGAGGAGGATCACGGAAGAGGAGGAGGAGGAGACAGAACCAGTACGGACGTTTGCCATTGGGTCCACGGATCGGTCCAGAGTAAGATTCAAGATAGGGACCCAGCCAGAATTTCAGGAGGTCCTGAAGCCCAGGGCAGGTACAATAGTGGCCAATCGAGTCCAAGTCTTTCCCAGGGGATGGCGGGACGCAATCAAAGAGACAACCAGCAGCCTGACAGTGAAATCTCGCACTCGTGTTGAAAGAGGCAGTACGCAACCTTAGCGGGGCAACGCCAATATACATCGAGGCGTCTTTCACAACACTCTTCACATTCAAGCGGAAGTCGGATATCATTGAGGCTCCAGCTTCTGGAATAAAATACTGGGCGCGCCTGAGCAGGATAGATTTGGCCGTCTCCGTGGGGGTATACTTACGGATCAGAGCGTGCAGAATGGATTGGAGGGATTTACTCATGATATCAAGGTTAGGACTCGGACAGATTCTAGAGTACCAGTTGGACAGACCACGCATATACGAAATGAATGAGTCCTGATGCCAGCCTCGGAGCCAGCGGTATGGGATGTGCTCAATATCGTCACGGGCAGACTCAAGATCAGCAATAATCTGGGGGAGGGTAGACGAGCGGAGCAAATACCGAATACAAACCGCCTTCGCCACTGCATGGATGTCCGTGAATTCAGCACAAAGACCAATATCCTTAAATTGTGTGGCGAGGTTATACGAGATTGCATTCCTCGGGCCGACCGTCAGGAGCAGCACGCCTTCTTTAAAGATCCTGGTAATGGCCTGGCTGGGAGGGTACATCTGGAACCTGAACGTGAGGAGCGAGACACACATCACCCTGAAAGAGACGGCGGAGAGGGCCAGACCAAGGCCCAAACAACGGGTATGTCGAATACGGTGTGTGTGTGTGTGTGTGTGTGTGTGTGTGTGTGTGTGTGTGTGTGTGTGTGTGTGTGTGTGTGTGTGTGTGTGTGTGTGTGTGTGTGTGTGTTCCAGGCTCCAGGGTGTGGTGTGCCTGGCGGCGCCGCCACAAAGTCACATCCGTGGCGGCGGAGCGGGGTCGAGGCCAAGGTCCTTTGAGCAGGGGCCGACTGTCCTGGCAGTCCTGTAGGCCTACCACGACATGCTCTTAGAACCCAATGCTGTTCTCAGAACGAAAGAAAAACCGGGTTCTGAGAACATAGACCCGATGTGTGCAAGCATGACAGTCTCGGCCAGACATGCTCCAAGAAAGTTCTTAGACCATGTGATGTTGGGCCTCTAGGAAAGCAAAGACGGTTCGCCACTGCTCGAGTCCTCGGCCGAACAGACGACGTGGGCGTCACATGTCCGGCTTCCCTCCGAGTGACGCCTGCCCGGGCGGAGGGAGGCGGCCTGGCTGCGGTGGCCACCACGCCGCGCGGAAAACAAAATCTGAAGGCGGCGGCGGCAGCGGCGGCGTCGTCGTCGCGAACGTCGGCACTCTCCTTTCATTTCTCAGTATGACCATGCTAATTCTTGCTTTCTACTATTATGCTTATGTTCCTGGTCCTTGCTATTTTCCTTCTCCTTTTTTTAATTATTCGTCATCGTCTTCGTGGTCGTCCTCGTCGTCCTCGTCGTCCTCGTCGTCTTCGCCGTCGAAGTCGTCGTCCTCGTCTGCGCCGGACGGACGAAGCGCAGCGCGGCCCGCGCGGGGGGCCCCAAGAGGTAGGCCCCGACTGTGTGCGGTATCCTGGAGGCGTCTTGGAGCCCCTTGGCGGGGCCTCTTGTTTTGGGGGGTCACGGGCAGGATCGTGGAGCACGATTTGTCGGGGGGAAGGGCCTGGAAGCCCTCCCGGGTTCCCCTTGTTTGGGGGCGTTTGAAAGCCCTCGTGGTTGTTTCCTTTGCCCGTCCGGCAGAGAGGGAGACGGGAGGAGAGGGGGAGCGACGCGGGAAACGGAGAAGCAGGGGGAGGGAGAATGACGACGACGGTCGACGACAACGACAGGCGACGACGACGACGACGGCGACGGCGACGACGACGACCGTTGACGGTAGACGACGACGACGACGACGACGACGACGACGACGACGACGACGACGACGACGACGACGACGACGACGGTCGACGACGACGACGACGGTCGACGACGACGACGACAGGCGACAACGACGATGGGCGACGACGACAACAACGACGACGACGACCACGGGAGGAAACGACGACGACGACGTATATGTATACGTCAGCACTGGGCACGAGTGAGCTCACATGGTACAGGCAACAAAGCTAAGACCACAACCGATGGCACTATAGCAGTGCCTTCGGCGAGCCGAGATTCTTGAGTTCCTGCCTTTGGGTCTCGTTGCCGTGGCGCATCTCCTCTACCTGGGTCTTGAAGATGGCCAGATCGTCTGACAGCGCCGCGACGAGCGGATGGGGACCGTGGCCGTGTCGACGGTGGTCGCGAGCGCCGTCCTGGGTCTGTGACTCGCCTGCATGACCAATGCCCATCACCAACAGCATCTGCTGAAAGTGTGGGTCCTTTGCTGGTCCATTTCTTTTCCGTGTGTTGGCCTCGGCGATGGCGGTTGCCGCCGCGCCTGCGGCGCAACGGCTGGCCACCCTCCTCGACCTGCTCCGCGGCCATGGCCCCAGGGGGCCCTTCTTTCTCTTTTGGGCTGGTGGCGCCCCGTTCTTGTCGCGCCCGTTGCTCCTACTTGCGGCGCCGTTAGCCTCGGCAGGGCCGATTCGGCCTGTAGCCGCCACGGGGTCATGGTGCGGGGCGCGTTTTCATCTGCGCGTCCTGGTCCCCGTCTTCGCCGTCATCGCCGGGATTCCCGATCACGCTGGTTCTCCGGGTCGGGTCGACGACGACGGCGACGACGATGACGACCACGACGACAACGACGACGTCCACGACGCTGACGCCGACGCCGACGACGCCGACGCCGACGCCGACGCCGACGCCGACGCCGACGCCGACGCCGACGCCGACGCCGACGCCGACGCCAACGCCGCCGCCGCCGATGCCGACGCCGACGCCGACGCCGACGCCGACGCCGACGCCGACGCCGACGCCGACGCCGACGCCGACGCCGACGCCGACGCCGACGCCGACGACGACGACGACGACGACGACAACACGACGACGGCGACGACGACGACGACGACGACGACGACGACGACGACGATGACGACGACGACGACGACGACGACGACGACGGAGAGGCCCCCCCTGGGCCTGGCCGAGCTGCGCCGCCGCGCGCGTCATGGCCGGGGAGAGGCCCCACTCCTGCCGGCCGGCCGCCACAACGGAGGGCGCTACCACTCGGCCGGGCGCGGGGGCTCCAAGAGGGGATCGTGAGGGATGGCCGCTTTGGAGAATCCAAGGATCAACCTTCAACAGTGCTTGCCCCGAATTTCTGAATCAGCGTCGGAGCGGCGTCACCCCCGCCGACAGCCTCACATCGACCCCCGTCGCGGGCAGCCACCGCGCGCCGAAGGCGCTCCGACCCCTGTCGCGGGGCGGTGACGAGGCGAGGCTGACCCCCGTCGGGGGGGTACCCCCCACGCTTATTAAGAAACCCAGAGTTCGTTTTCCCTCGGTTTGTCTCCAAACCGCTTGGCTGCAAAGAGAGATCGCAACGCAAACGGCCCACGAAATCGCCAAAACACCGTTTAAGCCGACCCCTGAGGGAAACGGATCGTAAAGGAAACAGGACTCAAAGTGTTTCACCGTTTTCAGCCCCTCGGGGCCCTCCATGGGCACATGGACTGTCAGGAAAACAACTCAAGATGACGGTCTCTTCCTGGGGGGAGGTCCAAGGGTCCAGGACCCGTTACCCTCAGGACCCGCTTCCCCGTGCCAAGATGGACCCCTGAGGACGGGAAAGAGATCCCAGGCTGAATTTTCACTATTTCAGTACAGGCCTCCCAAATGGGGTCGAAGCAGATGGGATCGGAAGATCGCGCCGCATCGCCAATGCATCGACGATGCATCATCAACGTCGGCGGTGCATCCGCGACGTTGACGAGAGGAACATCGGGCCCCACATAGAACCGCATCGCCGATGCATCGGGGATGCGGCGCGATCGTCCGACCCCATCTGCTCTGATCCCATCCGTGAAGCTTACAACGCGGACACGGCCGCATGAAACCCTCACAAGAAGCCCAGCCTTGAGAACCCGCGTTGGAGATGCAACATGTGGGGAAACCCCTGAAAGTACCCTGGACAAGCTGCAGCTTCTCGAGCGGCCGCGAGAAGTCACCGCTGCAGCGCACGGAGCAAAGACGCCCAGGGCACCCTGAGGAAAAGCTTCTTGCGTCGGCCGCTCGGCAGAGGGTGACTGCGTTGGCGAAGAAAGGCTTAAACAGGGATGCCGTTAGAGCGAGCTGTGCCATTGTGCAGGAGGAGGAGCGAGGAGAGGACGCGGCCGAAGGAACATGGGACGGGGCGGGCGGCTCAGGGGTCAGATCACCCAACGACGCGCGTCCCAACTGTAGATTTAGGCCAATCGCTCTCAGGGCCTCCCCCGGGGGGCTTTCTGACCCAACAAGTTCCGAAGCGAGCCCAGCGGCCGCTCCTCCTCTGAACTCGTTCTCGGGGCCCCCATCCCTCAGCGTCACAGCTTCGAACCACCCAACCAGAACGCTGCATCTCGGGCAGACAGATCTGCGTCACCCTGGCGATTAAACCAGGAAGGGAGGTTTTGGGCTACGTTTCCAACCTCGCAGGGGGCCTTCAGCAGGCCCCAGGACCGTTCAACGATACCATCCTCCTTATCATCCTCCTCCTCCTCCTCCTTCTCCTCATCCTCCTCCTCCTCCTCCTCCTCATCCTCATCCTCATCCTCCTCCACCGCCTCCTCATCCTCCTCCACAACTTCTCGTCCTCATCCTCTTCAACCACCTCCTCTTCGTCCGCCTCATCCTCCGCCTCCTCCTCCTCTCCCTCCTCCTCCTTCCTCCTCCTCCTCCACAACTTCTCGGCCTCATTCTCCTCATCCACCTTCTCTTCCTCCTCATCCTCATCCGCCTCCTCCTCCTCCTCCTGCTCCTCCTCCTACTCCTCCTATTCCTTTTCCTCCTCCTCCTCCTCATCATCATCCTCATCCTCCTCCACCACCTCCTCATCCTCCTCCACAATTTCTCGTCCTCATCCTCATCTACATCTCATCCTCCTACTCCTCCTCCTCCTCCTCCTCCTCCTCCTCCTATTCCTTTCCTCCTCATCCTCCTCCTCCTCCTCCTCATCATCATCATCATCCTCCTCTCCTCCTCCTCCTCCTCCTCCTCCTCCTCCTCCTTCTCCTCAACCTCTTCAACCACCTCCTCTTTGTCCTCTCATCCTCCGCCTCCTTCCCCTCCTCCTCTCCTCCTCCCTCCTCCTCCTCCTCCTCCTCCTCCTCCCCTATCTCCTCATCTTCTCTCCTCCTCCTCCTCTTCCTCATCCCTCCTCCTCCTCTCCTCCTCCTCCTGTCTCCTCCTCCTCCTCCTCCTCCCTCCTCCTCCTCCTCCTCCTCCTCCTCCTCCTCCTCCTCCTCCCTCCTCCTCCTCCTCCTCCACCTCCTCCTCCCTCGTCGTTTTCCAAAGGCCGGTCCGAGGGGAGGGGTCGGGACTCCCAGGGACTGCGTATCTGGGTCTGGGCCCCCCGGCCTGGAAGGCACGCGTCGCTCGCTGACGGGGCGTGCCCCCTCCTCCCTCGGCAGGGCCTCTGGGCGCCGTGGCTCCCCGCCTCTGCCTCCAGGGCCCCCTGCCGCCTCAGGGGCACCTCGCGCCAGCCACTCGCCGTGCCGCCCGAAGGTTCTGACCGCACCTGCCTCCTGCCTCCTGCCTCCCCTCCTACCTCCGCCTCTTGATCCTCCGCCTTCTGCTCACGCCCCCACAAATGATGCATGCCCCCCCGTGCCCTGACTGACAGCCGTGGCGATCCTCTTTCCTCTCCTCCCTTTCCACCTCCCTGCTCCTCCCTCCTCCCTCCTCTCCAACTCCCTGCTCCTGCCTCCTCCTCCCTCCTCCTACCACATCCCTCTCCTCCTTCTGCGCCCTCCTCGCCCTCTCCTGATCTCCTCCTTCCTCCCTCCCCTCCACCTGGTTCCTCCTTTTCTTTTTCCTCCTCCTCCTCCTCCTCCTCCTCTTCCTCCTCCTCCTCCTCCTCCTCCTCCTCCTCCTCCTCCTCCTCCTCCTCCTCCTCCTTCCTGAGCCCATAACCCGTTGCCCAGACGAGCCCGTGGCAGCGCAGCTGGCGGCTGCTCACCGAGCGGATCGGCCGCGGCCGTCGGTGACGGCATTTTGGCTGAGACTCCCTCACCACTTATGACGCTGAAGCTTGGACAATGGCAACAGCTTCGCGAATGGAGGACGGGTGATTTTCAAAATGTGGCTGTCGCCGCAGCCCCGCGCACACACGTCTGAAAGCACTGAACCTGTTCCACGGATGGATGGCGGGTGGTTTTCAAACTGTGGCTCGCCTCAGCGCCGCGCAGATTCGTCGTCAAGCATTGCTGAAGCTTCACAGATGGAGGGCGGGTCGTTTTCAAACATGCGGCTCTCGCCCTCGCGCCGCGCACAATGGTCTTCAGAAACTGCAGGAGCTTCGCAGGAGGAGGGCGGCCCGCCGTCACAGTGCGGCTCTCGCCTTCGCGCTGCGCACGGTCGTCCCAAGGAGCTGGCAAGAGCTTCACGGACGGAGGGCGACGGCTCCTTTTCTTGTTTGTTGACCTCCACGCTCTGTCCGCCACGGTTAGTCAGGCACCCTACGGCGGGGGGAGAGAGCCTGCAAAGTGATGCACAGGACATGATGGAAACACCTTGCTTCCACACCGCCAACAACGGAGAACTGAGATCGAAAAGCGCCACGCACACTCGCCGCAAAAGTCTGCAGGCGCTCCACGGAGGGAGGCTGCGATGTTTCCTCCTGTGGCTGTCGTGTGGGCCCCGCGCGCATTCTTCTGCAGAGCTCGCAACATCTCCGCAGACTCGAAACGCTGTTTTGGCCAGATGCCGGAACGTCAGGGCGCAACGGTCACGTTGATTCGCGGTGTGGATGTCGAAAGAACGGCGCTCTGGCGCGATTCAGGCACGTCGGGATTCACCACCAACCTTGATTCGCAGCACTGAAGTCCCAGGAATGATGTTTTGACACCGTTCGAGCTTTGCAAACGACCGTTTTCCAAAGGGACACTTCTTCGATGAACATGAATCCCTGTATGGGACCAATGAAATGGGGGAACTTGGAGGGAGGGTGTATTGCAAAATGGTTGGTCAGTCTTGGGTTAACACTGCCCGGGGGTGGACGTAAGGGTACGATAGCAAAAGAGCGGGGCAGATAATCAGCTCACGTATTTGGTGTTCCTGCTGCCTTGTGGCGCCAGGGGGCGCCCATGCATCGAGGAATGGGCCGAACTGCGGGGCGGACCCTTACGTCCGGCCGGACACTGTTCCTCCCTCCTCCTCCTTCTCCCACCTCCTCCCTCAAACTCCCCTTGCTCCTCCTCCTCCTCCTCCTCCTCCTCCTCCTCCTCCTCAGCCCTTTGCTCCTCCTCCTCCACCTCATCTTCCTCCTCCTCCTCCTCTTCCTCCTCCTCCCCTTGCTCCTCCTCCTCCTCCTCCTCCTCCTCCTCCTCCTCCTCCTCCTCCTCCTCCTGCCCCGCTCCTCCTCCGAACGGTGCCCCCCCGCCTCCCCGGGGGGCGGAGGGGGCGGCGGTCCTCGCACTCGGCGAGGGTGCTCTGCTCCAGGGCCCCCGCGGGGCTCTGCTCCTGCGGGCGGGGGAAGGGGGGAGGAAGGGCAGGAGGGAGGGGGAGGAAGGGAAAGGAGGACTAGGGACGTGGAAGAGGGAGGGGGGAGGAGGTTGAGGGGGGGGAAGGGGGGGAAGAGGGGGGGGGAAGAGACGGCGGAAGGAGGAGGAGGGGGAAGGCGGAGGAGGAAGGCGGACGAAGAAGAAGAGGGGACGCGGAGAAGTGGACAAAAAGGAAGGAAGGCGGGGAAGTGGAGAGAGAGGAGAAGGAGGAGGAGAGGAGGGGAGGGAGGAGGGGAGGAGGAGGAGGAGGAGGAGGAGGAGGAGGAGGAGGAGGAGAAGGCGTATCGGCTGAGGGCCGCCCCTGGGGATTGGGGGGCAGCCCTTCCCGCCGTGGCCTCACGCGTGGCCCTCGGCCCGCGCGCGCCATAGCCCGCGGACCCCCGCGGCAGCGCTGCCTGCAGGCGGCGCAGCGCACCCGCTGCCCAGCCGCGGCCATTGCGGCATCGCCGCGGTCACGCCGCCATTCAAGAG